GGTTGTCTCCCGAAAGGCTCTTTAGACTGACACCGATGCTTAGCTTCGGGCCCTGCGGCGATGGTCCTGTTCAGTAGCAGACTCCTTGCAGTTTTGATTTAACGGATAGGGTTCTTTCGCCACCCTGCTGCTCCCCCAAATCGCCATGCCCTGCCAGTGTCCCCCTCAGATGATGGAATGGGGAGAAGAAGCCCGGCTCACGATGGGCATTTGCCACTAGCCTCTCCAGAGCCTCGAGTACCTCTCTGTTGGGTCTGGTTGAGCCTGAGCAGTTTAAACAGGGGGATGGGGTTGGTTCTACCTGGAAAGCATCACTGTAAGTGGAGAAGCAGGGCCTCGCCTCCCCTATGGTGTCGAGACCTCACTTAGCCAGCACTCCTCGTCCTCAAACGTGTCTGGATGTGCCTGGCAGTGGGGTGGGGTGGGAGTTTCTGAGCATCTGGGAAGCGGGAAGACTCTCTTACTACTCGTGGGTTCTTAAGGCCAGGACAGCTTTTCCTCAGCCTTCTTGGCCCTGGTAGGCGAGAAAAGCAGACCTCAGATTGCATGTGTGTGACTCAGGTCCTTGGTTCTTAAACAAACCATACCCATCCTTGCACAGTCTCCCTGTTGGGGCCCAGGCACACCTGGGTGCCCAGACTAACTTGTGCTTTGAAAATAGGTGGCAGAGCCCACTCATTTGCTACCCCTTCCTGAATTTCCTTCAGAAAGTGGGAAGGTCTTCCACTAAGTTCCTCAGCTTTGGCCTTCACACCACATGGGGGAAAAAACACGGCACAGTGAGGGAAACAGAAATTTTACTCATGACTGGGACCTCCTGCCGGAGATGGGGTGAGGTGTTGCCATTCAGCGTCAGTGAGAGGCCGTGGCAGTTGGATAAGTTTGGTAGGGCCGTGGAGAGAAGGCTGGCCCAGAAGGCTGTGTCCTCGCCCCGGGGCCAGCTTGTGCGGGCAGGCACTTTCTTCAGGAGGCATGTAATTACAGAATAGCTTATTTTTCCTCCACTGTATTGTCTTTAATCACCAGTCTGGAGTGCTCCTGGCCAGACACAACATGCGGGGGCAGACGCACGCAGTCAGCTCTGCGCTCCCCTCCCGCCTCTGCTGGCCCTGCCCCGGGAGCGTCTGCCACCCTGCAGCCCATACATCCTACACCTGGGGAGCAGCAGCCTTCAGGTTCTAGGAACATGGGGGCAAAGAGAAAGAGTGAATCAGTTGCTAGACCGGGGAGGAGGAGGTCTTGGGTTTGGGGGCACCTGGAATAAGGTGGCAGATGTCAGGATAGCCACAGGGTAAGCAGAGGGGAATTGCTGAGTGTCCAAGGTCTATAGGCCTGGCCAGAGGAGGGATACTCCCCTGGCTTTCTGGCTGCTCCCCTTAGCCTTGCCCTGCCTTCCTGAGTGTGATCCTCATTCCAGAACAGGCAGCTTCCCAGGTGACCTGCAACCCCCTGGGATTTGTCTGGCCTTTCCTTTCTGTTGCCCAGTCCCCGTCTCTTGGGCATGCAGCCTCACTGCCTCTACAGGCCAGTCCTTCCCTGCTTCCAAGAGGTTTTCTCACTTTATCATTTCTGGAGGCCTGGCCTAGGCAAGTTCATCCTGGGAACTTTCACATCCCTCCTGCAGAGAGGGAGGGAGAGGGGGCTTGGGAGAGCTGAGCCTGAGGGAGAAAGGGGCAATGGGGAGGCAAGGCCCAGGAGGCCCTGATTTCTCACCCTAGCCCCTGTTTGCAGCGGGTGGGCCTTCCCAGTTCTCTTCTTCCCTGGGCTGGGAGGAACAGGCATCACCCCTCTGGGCTGCCCCTTAGACACGAGAAGGCTAAGTAGGGCTTTCCTTTCCATGTCAGGAGTCAAGGAGGCAGAGGTAGAGACCTTAGCCTTACCTGACACTCACTTGTCCTGGACCACGGCCTTTCAGGGAGGCCCCAGGATCCCTGCCAAAGGGCAATGGGTACTTTGGAGTACAGTAGTCACCCATGCTAGGGTGTGGGTCTCCTGTCAGGAGGGCCATTTCTTCCTGAGCTGAAATAACCAGTTATCCCCTCTGGGAAGAGGCAGCTCTTATCTTCATAATCCCCCAAAGCCATCATGGAGAGATGGGATTAGGTGAGATTTAGGCAAGGGATCTGGGAAGTCTTGGGCCAGGCCGGCTCTGGAGGCTGTCCTCATCCCTCAGGCCCAGGAAGTTGGCAGGAGGTCTGCATGGGGCTCCACTCACGTGCATCCTACCAGCAGGTCCACAGGGTGGATGCTACCCCGTCCAGCAGCCCTTCTAGTTGTGGAGATGTGTGTCCTGCGAGGGGCGAGGCTGCTAAGGGGAGGGGTGGGTATGGAGACAGGCGGGGAAGAAGAAATCCAGAACATCAGTGGACAAAGCCAGGGCAGGACCCCGGGCAAGGCAGATGTGCGAATGATGGAAGTGGAAGGGGGAGGACAATGAGCCAAGGCAGCCCAGTGTCCCCAGCTCAGCCACCCTGGGTCAGGACTCAGTAGATAACTCCAAGTCTCTTTCTTGGTGCCCAGGTCTAGGGCTTCGCTCCTCTTGCTCAGGAACTTTTCCTGGTGGAAGCTCACATTGGTGCTCCTCAGGTGGCCCCTGGGAGACTCACTCCTCCCGCAGGTGCTGCCGTTCTTTTTCTTAGGACCCCCGAGTTGGGGATCTGTGTGTTAGATTCAACCTGGGGTAGGCCTCACCTCCAGAAGTATTTTTTGTGTGTGTGTGAGGAAGATCAGCCCTGAGCTAACATCTGCCAATTCTCCTGTTTTTGCTGAGAAAGACTGGCCCTGGGCTAACATCTGTGCCCATCTTCCTCTACTTTATATGGGACACCACCACAGCATGGCCTGACAAGCAGTGCATCGGTGAGCACCTGGGATCTGAACCCGGGCTGCCAGCAGCGGAGTGCGCGCACTTGACTGCTACGCCACCTCCAGAAGTTTTGATTCAATAGGTCTGGGGTGGAGCCTGGACATTCATGGTTTTAAAAGCTCCAGGTGTTTCTGGTACAGATCCTGGGTTGACAACCCCTGATTAAGGTATCATTGGGATCAGTGATGAATGAATGTGTGCATTCATTCATTCATTCATTCAGCAAGGATTCATTGAGCTGCTGCTGTTTGCCAGGCACTGCCTTAGCAGGTGGTGGGAGGGGTGTGGAGATGGGAGAATTCGGTACCTGTTTTCAAGGCATTGGCAGTCTAGTGGGAGAGCCAGACAAGTAAATCTATGGTGACAGTTCTCTATGATGGAGACTGTGGGCTAGGTTGTCCAGCGTGCTATTGGAATACAAACCTCCCCCCGTAAGTGCAGCCCTGGGTTTTGGGAAAATTTCCCAGAGTGGGTGATGTTTGAGCTGAGGCTTGAAGGAGAAATAAGAGTTGTCTGGGGCAGGGAGTGTGTTCTTGGCTGGGAAAATACATCAGGGTATTTGCACATGGGCTGGAGGAGCATGGCATATGCCAGGAATGGCAGGAAGGGAGGCTGGAGAAGCTGGCAGATCATGCTCAGGGGTCTAGGCTTGATTTTAAAGGCACACGAGGTCAGCTGATCAGACAAGCCTTCACTCTGGCTAGGGTATTGCAGCTGGTTTGGAAAAGGTAGGGACTAGGGGGAGGGAGGAGAGAGGGGCTGGGGGTAGGGTAAGGATTTTCTAGTCTAGGGTGTTCTGGCTCTGGTCTGGGTGCCTGGGTGAGATGGTACCTGCAGGAGGAGGGGTGCTGACTTGCAGGGAGAGCCAGGTGGCGATTTCGGGGTTTTGGACTTGTGGACTCGTAGGTACCTGTGTCACAGCTGTGAGGCAATTCAGTAAACGGATCAGAATTTGGGGTATTGGTCAAGCTAGAGGTAAAATTTAGTAGTTGTAAGCTTATTGGCAGTGGGTGAATCCAAGACTGTGGCTGAGGTTGCCCTGGAAATGTACATAAAGTTATTAAGAAGATGTGAAAAGATGGACTGTGGGGTAGACAGAGGGGAAAGGACAGTCAAAAAAGGAGAAAACAGGAGAAAAGCCCAGGAACAGGGGGTCTCAACCAGGATAGGCGAGGCCATGGACTTGGGCACAGGTCCCAGTGTCTCCCGGGGACTGCCCCCGTCCATACCACCTTCTACCCATCCTCGGTGAGATGAGAGCACAGTGTAGTCGGTGCATGGTCCTTTCCTGGGAGCAGCTGTCTTGTTTCTGAGGTTTTGTCCTTCCTGATGCTGTGGTGTGACAATATCCTCTGTTTTATGAAATGGTAGTAACAGAAGATGGTGGATTTTTTTAATGTTTATACTAGGAACAATGAAAAGCTAGCATCTGTGTGTTAGTTCTCCTTTCCCCATTTCAAAAAATATGTATTTTCTGGCCCATGAAATCTAAAACTTGGTAGCAGTGAGGTAAATGAGAGGTCAGTGGTGAGAACATTCTGAGTGGGGCCAGGAGATATCTCGCTGATGGCAGGGGGTTGGGAGTTGAATGAAGGTGAGTTAGAAAACACTGAGTATAGAAAATTTGTATTGGTTTTTGTTTTAAACTTGGCTTTAAAGATTAGGAACTGTAGAGCCAGCCCTGATGGTCTAGTGGTTAAAGTTCTACATGCTCCGCTTCAGTGGCCCAGGTTCAGTTCCCAGGCATGATACCACGCCACTCGTCTGTCAGCAGCCATGCTATGGCAGCAGCTCACATAGAAGAACCAGAAGAACTTACAACTATACACAACTATGTACTGGGGCTTTGGTAAGGGAAAAGGAAGAAAAAAGGAGGAAGATTGGCAACAGATGTTAGCTTAGGGCAAATCTTCCCCTGCAAAAAAAACATTAGGAACTGTGTACTCCAATGTCTTTTAATGTGGTGGAGATCTGAGCATGCTTACACCCTGAGGGACAGGGGCCAGTGGAGGAAGAGAAGGTGAGGCTTCAGGAGGAAGAAGGAAGGGCCTGGCAAGGGGAGAGGGGAGTGCCCCATATTGGCAGGGACCTGGGGTCTCCAGGGAGATGCTGAGCACCTCTTGCTTTCCTGCAGGGCGAGCCACCCTTGGCCCTGGGCCTGTCCACCCGGAAGGCCCTCAGCATCCTGAAGGAGCAGCTGGAGGCAGTGCTGGAAGGACACTTGAAAGAGCGGAAGAAATGTCTCATGTGGAAGGTGAAGCTTCTTCACGGGGAGGCCAGAGCCTGGTTGAGATGGCAGAGAAGCTTGGGAAGCCCATTCTCAGAGCCGTGACTCGCTCTGTCACCCTGGGCGGCATGATTTGACCAAGACATCACTAAAAATCAAAAAGAAGCGGGATTCCCTTTCAGAGTGATGTGCTGACCCCTCTTGCTGCAGGAGCCCAGGCTGGACCCCAGCTGAGTCAAAGCGAGAAGACAAAGGCGGCCACGGGGCTGGATCGGGTGGGTGTGGGGGGAAGGTGGCCAGATTCTAGCAGGACGGAGAACCTCGGCTCCTTCCTACCTCCTTGTCCCCAGGCCTCTCACTCCCCGCCTCCTGTCCCTCCTCAGGAGCTGTGGAGGACCAGCTTCCTGCACCACAGTAACCGCTGCTCCTGTTTCCACTGGCCGGGAGCCTCACTCATGCTGCTAGCTGTTCTGCTGCTGCTGAGCTGCTATGGGAGCCAGCCAGCTGGCAGGTACATGGGCAGCAGCCCTGGGGAGAGGCTTCCTCCCAACCTCTCACACCATGGGGCCTGAGCCTGTCCCTCTCCTGCCTCAGCAGAGTGTTTCTGCCATCCCACCTAGGACATCCCAGGGCAGAGGGGCTGCTGCCCCCATGGTCGGCACCTGTGTTGTTTAGAAATCCTCAGTCTCTTGGCTGGCTGGTGTCAGAGCCAGAATGAGACGCTCTTTTCAGAAGAGACTGGGCAGGTTGGGGTGGGGTGGGGTGGGGGTGGTCCAGGGCCTTGGGTGGGCTGGTTTGGAGAGCCTCTCCCTCCCTCCTAGTACCCCTCACCTCTTCCCACCAGCCACGGGGTGGAGCTGGTGAATGCCGCGGCGCTGTTCCTCTTGCTGCTTCTCAACCTCGTCCTCATTGGACGGCAAGATCGGCTGAAGCGTCGGGAGGTAGAGCGGAGGCTCCGAGGGATCATTGACCAAATCCAAGGTGAGGCCAAGGGTCAGGCATGTTGGGTGGGAAAAGATGCCCAGTGATGTGTCAGAGCCCTAAGATCTCCCCTCCAGAGTTTCAGCACATAGGCGTTGCCTGTGGTCAGCATTCCAGGGGCTCTTGTTATCAAGAGAGCTAGAAAGATGCCCTGCTCTCTTTACAGCAGGACAGTGAGAGCCATGGGACAGTCGTGGGTACTCAGGCTGTGGCCTGGGCAGGCAGGCAGGCTGATGGCAGCACAGTAGACTTGTGGGCTTGCTCCTGCTAGTTGGGAGACTAACAGAGAAGACCCTCTCTCTTGGCAGGAGGACAGTTGAGATTTTCTCTTCCAAGTCTGTCTTGTCTGGTGGTACTGGGCCAGGGGAGGTGTGAAGGTGGACCAGAGAAGTCTGAGATCCTGCAAGAATTGGGATTGGTGGCAGGGAGCTGGGATCCCAAGATGGAGCAGCCCGGTTCCTAAAGAATGGGATTACTTGGTCAGATTTCTGCTTGTGCTTCCGTTCAGCTAGTGTTTATTAAGCCCTGGCTGTGGATTGAGGGTTACATTAGGCTCTTTTGAGAGACAATGGTTCCTGCTTTCCAGGGGCACGCTGTCTTGTAAGAGAAGCAGCACCTACTCTCCTGGGCAGAGAGGTTTAAAGGCTAAGTGAGAATGTGTTGGTTCATTCTGAAATGATTAATAAACTGCAGCTATATGCTAGGCACTGGGAGTATAGCGGTGCCCGAGAAAGATGGGCCCTGCTCTCCAGACCTTAGTCTCTTGCTAAGGAACCATCAGTGCCTCCCACTTGCTTATCAAAGCCATCCCACGTGGCTTCCCAGAGCCTCTGGCACAGGCTTCCACCTTCCTCTCCAGCCTCTTCTCTTGCTATTCATCCTCATGTTAAAACTACTTACCAGTCCTAAACCCACTGCGGACTTCCCTGCCTCTGTGCCTTTGTCCTGCTGTCCTTTTGGCATGCTTCTCCCTCACTCATCTCCAACAGACAAAATCTCACTCATTCTTCAAGACCCATCTTAAATGCTCCCTTTTCCACGAAGCTGTCTCTGATCGTCGCAGCTCTTCTGTGCTCCTGCAGCACTGGGATCTTTCCTAACACTCTTAGCACATTTGCCATGTTTGGAGTTATCTGCCCACGTGTCTCATCTCTTTTTGGTTGTGGCTTCTTGAGGGCGGGGACTGTGTAGTCTTCACCTTTGGCCTTTGTACTCCTCACAGGGCTCAGCACACCCCTCAGCGACATTTGTGAAGTGTATTTGAACAGAACAGGGGTATAAAAAATAAGAGCTTCCGGTGTTCAGAGGAGCTGGAAGTGCCTGGGCTGGAGTGGTTGGGGAAGGCTTCATGGGGGAGGTGACCTTGAAAGAGTAGAGGTGTTAGAATGTATGGCATTGGTTGATGCAGGCCTTCTGGGAAAGGAAGAAGAGCAGACACAGTTCCATAGGTGTGTGCTGGGTCTAGCTGGTGTGTAGAGCCGTGGGTGAGGTTGTTTCCCTCTTTCATTCTCATCAGATGCCCTCAGGGATGGCAAGGAGATCAAGTGGCCAGATGCCATGTACCCAGACCTCCACATGCCCTTTGCACCTTCCTGGTCTCTGCACTGGGCCTACAGAGATGGACATCTGGTCAACCTGCCAGTTAGCCTGTTGGTAGAAGGAGACATCATAGCTCTGAGGCCTGGCCAGGAATCATTCGCCTCTCTGAGGGGGATCAAGGTAGCTTGAGGCTTTTCTCCTTCCCTGGAAATGCTGTGGGAGAGTCCTCAGGCAATGGTGGGAGGGTCCCAGGGCTTAGTCCTGAAACTTCCTAGCCAGCTCATAGGCTTCTTGGCAAGGGCTCTAGGAGAATGCAGAAGAGCTGGAACATCTCTCTCCTTGTCACGTTCTTTCTTTCCTCTGATCCTCAAGCTGCTAGGAATCCAATTCCACAGGCCCCACCCCAACTGACTCTTTGCTAACTGATGGTCCCCAACCCAATGAGATGTCTCCACTTAGCTGGAATTGTCAAGGAAGAGTGGCTTCCGATAGAAGCCTTTAATTGCCCTCGCCCTCTCCTCTTGGTCACTGGCAGGATGATGAGCACATTGTCTTGGAGCCAGGAGACCTGTTTCCCCCTTTTTCTCCACCCCCCTCCCCCCGAGGAGAAGTGAAGAAAGGGCCGCAGAACCCCCAGCAGCACCGGCTCTTCCGCGTCCTTGAGACCCCTGTGATTGACAACATCAGGTAGGGGTGCTGCCCTGCCTTCCTCCTGTCCTTCCACTTCTCCTCTTCCCCCTTGAGCAAGGGGTGGGGTGACAAGGAAGGGGACTTTTTCATACTGAGGCCCTCTTAGGGCAAGCATCTCTGTAGGTTCTTCTCTTTAGCATCTTGTGAGAATTCTTAGGCTGATTGCTCCCCTTCCAGTCTGAACTCGGTAGGGGCAGCTTTGGAGGCTGCCACAGGCCACTCTCCCAGGGGGCCACTTGGCCGGGGCCAGGGACCAGGAGGAATTGCAGGTCTCCATGATACTCAGTGAAGGTGCGGGTTTCTGGCCTCTCCCCTGAGCATGGCTCGCCTGAGTATAGGGTCACCTCTTTCTGCAGATGGTGCCTGGACATGGCCCTGTCCCGCCCAGTCACTGCACTGGACAATGAGAGGTTCTCTGTACAGTCAGTGATGCTGCACTACGCCGTGCCCGTGGTCCTGGTGCGTGAGGCTGGGCGTGGGGCAGGGAGAGGGCTAGGAAATGGGGGAACCTCAGGGCCAGACTCAGGTGAGCCTGTGAATGAAGAGGGGGTCCCAGAGTGAGCCAGCCAGTGCCGGGGGGTGTGAGTGGGCAGAGGAAGGGGAGCCTTAGAGCCTGGGTCCCTCTCTGGGGAGGAAGGGTTAAGGCTGTACCTCTTCTGTTCCCAACAGGCCAGCTTCCTCATCACCAATGCCCTACGCTTCATGCTGAACGCCCCCGGCATCACGTCCTGGCAGTACACCCTCCTCCAGCTACAGGTAACTCCTCTCATGCTTTTCTCTTTCCCTTGAGGCTGGGTCCCCTCGTGGTGCCCTGACTGCCCAGGGGTCCCTCAGGCTTCGGCTTAAAGATGCCTGCTTCCCTTCTTTCCCTTCCTGCCCCCGAAAGACAGCTGTCCCTTTCTATTCAGGGAGTGGCTCTGGGGTCGGGAAGCCCTTTGCTCCTTTCCTTCCCTCCCTCCCTCTGGTCCAGCAGCTCTTTGGGCGCCGTCAGTGTGGTTCACTCTTTCCCAGGTGAATGGAGTCCTGCCCATCCTCCCCCTGCTCTTTCCAGTCCTCTGGGTTCTGGCAACTGCCTGTGGAGAAGCCCGTGTCCTGGCCCAGATGAGCAAGGCCTCCCCCAGCTCCCTGGTAGGTTGTTCCAAGGCATCCAGGGGACAGTGCAGAAAAAAACAAAAAAGAGGGAGTCGGCTGTGCCCAGCGACCAGGGGTGGAGGTCCAGCCCCACTGTGGGCCCAGCGCTTGGGCAGGCCCTGGGCAGCTCTCCAAGGGCTTTGCCCTTCCTATCCAGAAGAGCCTCCGGGCCAGGCCCTGGGGGTGGGTGAGCATCCATCCTGGCTCTCAACAGATGGGAGATTTGGGGACTGCCTGGTGTCGTTTACCAAAGGCACTGGGAGCCTTGCTGGTGGGGGGCCCCCACCCTGCCCCTTAGAGGCCTGTGTGAAGGTGGCATTTTCCTCCCTGAGGCTCACACCCTCTTCTCCGTGCAGCTGGCCAAGTTCTCGGAGGATACCCTCAGCAGCTATACAGAAGCCGTCTCCACTCAGGTACACTCACCAGGGACGGATTCTGCCCCAGGCCTTGTTAGCCACCAACGTGGACTCCCTCAGGGCCCTTCTGGAACCCTGGGACTCTCCTACTTTGTGGCCTTCAAGCCTCCAGCAGGGCTCTTGGAGCCCCCAGTCTGCCCGTCTCACATGGACAAATGCCTCTCCACCCTTACTTCCTGGCGGCCCCCTGGACTGTTCCCTCTTTTGGCCCCAGAGGCCCTGTCTAGGGAAATGCGGCTGAGCCCTAAATGGCCACACAGACTTTCTCTCTCCCACCAGGAAATGCTACGCTGCATTTGGGGCCACTTCCTGAGGGTGATCCAGGGGACGTCGCCCACACTGAGCCACAGCTCCAGCCTGCTGCACAGCTTGGGCTCCGTCACGGTGAGGGAGGGCCCTGCCTCAGCAGGCCTGCGGTCTGGCTGTGTCTGGGTGCCCGTCTGCCATTTAGGTGGCCCCTGGGTGGGTTGAGGAATGCCAAGCCCCCTTCCCAATCCCCATCTCTCCCTGCAGGTCCTGTGCTGTGTGGACAAACAGGGGATCCTGTCCTGGCCAAACCCCAGCCCAGAGACAGTGCTGTTCTTCAGCGGGAAGGTGGAGCCCCCACACAGCAGCCACGAGGACCTAACGGATGACCTGTCCACCCGCTCCTTCTGCCATCCCGAGGTAGAGGAGGAGGTATGGCAGGCTGCTGGGGGCTGAGCTCTGGGTCTGGCCGTTTGGCCCTCGGAGCCCGGCCAGTGACCTCAGGGGGGGTGAGGCTAGGAGGAGAAGGAGCGCTTAGTCACTATTAGGACCTGTCTCTGAGCAGTTCAGGCGGAGCCACCCGAAAAGGCAGTGAGGGGACGTAACCGCCCTGCCTCCCTGGTCCATGGCAGCCGTGGGGACCCTGGTCCGAGGCCTGGCTCCTTGTTTTCCTCAGCCCCATGAACGAGACGCCCTCCTGGCTGGCTCCCTGAACACTACCCTGCACCTTTCCAATGAGCAGGAGCGTGGCGACTGGCCTGGCGATGGTCCCAAGCCCCCTGAGTCCTACTCCCACCACAAAGCACACGGCCGCAGCAAGCACCTGTCCGGCTCCAACGTGAGCTTCAGCAGGGACACGGAGGGCGGTGAAGAAGAGACTGGCAAGGTGAGAGGAGAGAGTGGAGAGCCGCCACCTCAGTCAGCCACAGGGTGTCCTTGCCTCCCCACCAAAGGGGTACAGCCCAGCCTGGATGGATGAAGCCGAAAGCACAGATCTCGCGGCCTCTGTTCTTGGGCCTCCAGGCTTGACCAGGCAGGACCACCTCCTGAGGCCCTGCCCAGGACTCTTCCCCCTTTCCGGGTTTCACTGATGGTAATTGGTTGGGGCAAGGCCCTCTCTCATAGTCACAACCTCTAGAGATAGAAAGCCAGTGGCTCCCTCTAAAATGTTTTCCCCTGGCTGAAAAAGATCTTTCATTGTTTTCTCTTTGGTCTGGTCATCCCTCTTCTTAGGTATTGCCAGTATCGTTGGGTGTAGATACTAGAAGCAGACAGGAGCCCAGGAAGGACAGGAAGAAGATTTTGGGGAGGGGTGGATTGAGCATGAGCACTCAGGGCCCACCCCCCTCACCCGTCCCAGTCTGAGGCTCCCCTTTCCCCCCAACGTTTCCCTCAGACCCAGCCTGGGCTGGAGGGCGAGCCCTACGAAGCGGAGGACTTTGTGTGTGACTACCACTTGGAGATGCTGAGCCTGTCTCAGGACCAGCAGAACCCCTCCTGCATCCAGTTCGATGACTCCAACTGGCAGCTCCACCTCACCTCCCTCAAGCCCCTGGGCCTCAATGTGCTGCTGAACTTGTGCAACGCCAGTGTCACCGAGCGGCTGTGCCGCTTCTCGGACCACCTGTGCAACATCGCCCTGCAGGAGAGCCACAGCGCCGTGCTGCCCGTGCACGTGCCCTGGGGCCTCTGTGAGCTCGCCCGCCTCATTGGTATGTGGCCGCTGGCAGGGTTGGCTGCTGACCTCTTAGAAGACACCAGGCCACCAACTCCAAACAGACCAGTCCCGGGCATGGCATTTGTCAAGAGCGCCATCAACCCTTTTAGCTTCTGGTCGTCCCCTTTAACCAGGCACTGCTGTTTGACAGCACTTCTTAATCTGCGAAGATAACTGACTGGCACAGAAAGGTGGAGGGAACCCGTGCAGCCTGACTGGGTTTCTCTCCACACCAGGGAGGGAGGTGCAGTGGTGGGGCTTCCTTCTTTCCAGAGGCCCTGAGTTGCTGTCCCTCCTCCTGTAGGCTTCACTCCTGGGGCCAAGGAGCTCTTCAAGCAGGAGAACCACTTGGCGCTCTACCGCCTCCCCAGTGCTGAGACGGTGAAGGAGACCTCGCTGGGGAGGCTCTCCTGTGTCACCAAGCGACGCCCCCCGCTCAGCCACATGATCAGCCTCTTCATCAAGGACACCACCACCAGTGAGCCTCCACACTTGGCCCTTAGCAAGCCAAACCTTCCAGGGGCTTGGCAGGGCGGGGCTCTTTTTAGGGAGCAGTGGGCAGATGAGCACTACACAGCTTCCTAAGACCTCAAATGTGGCAGGGATTGGATTTGGGGACCAGGGCTGGGATGGTGGTGGCCACAGAGGGTGGGACTGTTTGAAGAACAGGCAGTTTAGTGCCTTCATTACAAGCCCAGTGGCATTCCATACAGGCTTGCTGCCTGAGGCCTAGGGAGTTCCCACCCCCTCAGGGGCTCCTTAGCACCCTTCTCAGGGATGGCATGTGTTCGCCGAGGGCAGAGTGAGGGGCAGGGTGACCTGAGGCACTCATGATTTGGCCTTTCTCTCCCCCTGCCCACTCAGGCACAGAACAGATGCTGTCCCATGGCACGGCCGACGTGGTCTTGGAGGCCTGCACAGACTTCTGGGATGGAGCTGACATCTACCCTCTTTCGGGTTCTGACAGGTGTGTGAGGAAGCACACGCAGTGGCAAGTGCAGTCAGCTCTGGCCGTCTGCCTGCCCAGCTCACAGGCATGAGGCATCCCAGGACCACTCGCCTCACTTCTGCTCTGCTTCCCTGGCAGGAAGAAAGTGCTGGATTTCTACCAGCGAGCCTGCCTGTCTGGTTACTGCTCCGCCTTCGCTTACAAGCCCATGAGCTGTGCCCTGTCCTCTCAGCTCAATGGCAAGTGCATCGAGCTGGTGCAGGCGCCTGGCCAGAGCAGCATCTTCACCATGTGTGAGCTGCCCAGCACTGTCCCCATCAAGCTGAGCACGCGGCGCAACAGCTGGAGCTCTGACGGTAGTGGGCGTGTCCGTCCCAGCGGGGCCGGGAGCGGGGAGGGTTTCTGGATGGCCATGGGATCGATCGTAGCAGAGGGGACAGTGGGCATAACACAGGACCCGGAACGCCGAGGTGGCACTATCTGGTGACATGGGTGAGTCCCTTAGTCCTCTCATGTAGAACTAGGTGCTTAGTCTGTCCTCCTCACAGGTTTATTGTGACTCTCCAGTGGGATAATGTATAGAAAAGGGTTTTTTTGGAAGTTTTAGAGCACAGCGTTTATAGAATGTTAGCCATATTTGAATCAGACAGAAGGCCGGATCACAAATCTGCTGGAATAGAGGGACCTAGAACTCCACCAACCCCCACCCCACCCCCGCCCCACTCGGCCAAACACAGACTTACAGGCTCTTATGATCCAAGAGACCTTGATTTGAAGCCATTGCTGAGGGTGGGGCCAGACCCTTACCCCTGGACCAGGGCTGGGCTCTGTTGTTACTCCATAGGATTGTCACCTGACTGATGAGTACCTTTCATTGTCTTTTCTCCTGTGTCTTTTGGCTCCTTTACGTGTCTTGGCTGTATGTGTGCGTGGCTGTGTGTGGTCCCCTGGGGCCTGCATGCTCATTGATTTGGGTGTGGCATCTGTGTGTGGCCCTGGGCTGCCTCCTGGAATCTGCTGGTTCCTGGATGTCTGACTGGGCCGTGCGCTGGCTGGGCTTTGTGCCTTGTGCCCACCTGAAGAAGGGATCGGGGAGGTTCTGGAGAAGGAAGACTGCATGCAGGCCCTGAGCGGCCAGATCTTCATGGGCATGGTGTCCTCCCAGTACCAGGCCCGGCTGGACATCGTGCGTCTCATCGACGGGCTGGTCAATGCCTGCATCCGCTTCGTCTACTTCTCTTTGGAAGATGAGCTCAAAAGCAAGGTGGGGGGAGCCATCCCCCTCTGCCACCACTGACCCTTTTTCCCATGGGCTTTTGGGCCCATCTGTTCATTGCCATCTGCCTTTTGCAGGTGTTTGCAGAAAAGATGGGCCTGGAGACAGGCTGGAACTGCCACATCTCCCTCACGCCCAATGGTGACATGCCTGGCTCTGAGATCCCCCCATCCAGCCCCAGCCATGCCGGCTCCCTGCATGATGACCTGAATCAGGGTGAGAGCAAAGGTTTGTGGCGGGGACAAGGTGGTTGGGAGGTTCCCCCTCCTTGGAGCCGCAGCTAGAAGGAGCCTCCATGGATCCCTCCTGATAAGAACATTCCCTTGGAAAATAGTTCTGATCTCCCTGTGGTAATGGCAGTCAACAGGGAAAGAGAGTACACCTGGAGGCAGGAAGTTCTGTGCCATCTGCAAGGCAAGCACAGGCCCCCAGAAGGCTGGCCCTAAGGTGAGGGACTGGCTTTCATCCCCACAGTGTCCCGAGATGATGCTGAAGGGCTCCTCCTGATGGAGGAGGAGGGTCACTCGGACCTCATTAGCTTCCAGCCTACGGACAGCGACCTCCCCAGCTTCCTGGAGGACTGCAACCGGGTACGATGGCAGGGTCTGTGCCCCCACACTTCTGGAGGTGGCACATGGCTGGTCCAGGGCAGAGAAGGGAGGGTGGAGGGACCCTTCTCCGCTACCCTGAGGCCCTGGCATCTCTACTGTCTCCAGGCCAAGCTGCCCCGGGGCATCCACCAGGTGCGGCCCCACCTGCAGAATATTGACAATGTGCCCTTGCTTGTGCCTCTCTTCACCGACTGTACCCCCGAGAGTGAGTACTGTGGCCACGGTTACTCAGGCAGCCTGGCCCCTTTCGCTGAGCATTGCCCGGGCCTAGGAACCCTGTGGGCTCTGGAGGGGATGTTAGTTTCCCATGCAGGGAGCAGAGGAGCCTGGGCTGGAATGAGCTGGGGAATCCAGTGGGCTGGTGCCAGGGGTGTGCCCATTCTAGGGAGTCAGAAATGACGGTAGTCATACAATATTCATGATACTGAGGGTAGGATAGGATGGTCCCAAAGACAGGCCTGCTTCCCCTTGTCTCCTGTTCTCCTGTCCTGTGGGGCTCTGCCTGCCTGACTCTTGTGCCCCCTGACTCTGCCCCCTCAGCCATGTGCGAGATGATCAAGATCATGCAGGAATACGGGGAGGTGACCTGCTGCCTGGGTAGCTCTGCCAACCTGCGGAACAGCTGCCTTTTCCTTCAGAGTGACATCAGGTCAGGGCGACACCCTGGAGCTGGGGGCTGGCCTCTACTTCCCGGAGACCCCAGACTCGGGCTTGCATGGGGCTCAGGGCATATTCCATGGCTGATCTTGCCCTAATTGGGACCAAGGGCCCTACCTGGGCATGGTGGGGAGAAAAAGGAGCCAGTGCTTGCTCAGTCCCAGGGGAGATAGGGTCTTTGTGGAGTGCCAGTGATGGGTACGCTTTCCCCCTACACTGAGCAGCATTGCCCTGGACCCCCTGTACCCGTCCCGCTGCTCCTGGGAGACCTTTGGCTACGCCACAAGCACCAGCATGGCCCAGGCGTCAGATGGCCTTTCTCCCCTGTGCCTCTCGGGGCAGCTCAACAGCCTGCCCTGCTCTCTGACCTTTCGCCAGGAGGAGACCATCAGCATCATCCGGCTCATCGAGCAGGTGGGGGCTCGGGTGGGCAGAGTGGTGAGGGGTGCGGGGCCTGCTTGGGGTGGGGAGTAGTGACACAGGATCCAACTGGGCTCCCAAGAGCTGGTCCACCTTCAAGCGAAGCCCTCCCAGCCAGTTTAGTTTACCTCCCCCACTTCCTAGCAGGAGCATCTGGGGCATCTGGCTCAGCTGAAGCTTGTCAGCTGCAGGGCCTGAGAGAGGCTACAATCTGTCCCTCCTGGTCTCTAGGCTCGGCACGCCACCTACGGCATTCGCAAGTGCTTCCTCTTCCTGCTGCAGTGCCAGTTGACTCTTGTGGTCATCCAGGTGAGGAGGGGCCAGCTCCGGCCTTGCCCACTCCCCGCTCCTTCACTCAAGGGCCAGTTGAGAGTCTGAGGCGGGAGGCTGGGAGGCTGCAGCACAACTTAGGGGGTCCCTAGAGCCTTTGTGAAACCCCTGGGCTTTTGGAGATGACGCCATTGGCAGGATAGTGTCCCCTCTGGCCCCAGCTCCTCTGAGCCAGGACGTGAGTGTCTGTCTGGCCCGGGTGAGGCCACCCTGGCACTCCCTGCATCTTACTATCTGCCAGAATCTAATAGCCTTTCCTGGGTTCTCTTGGCCTAGTTCCTTGCTTGCCTAGTCCAGCTGCCGCCACTCCTGAGTACTACCGACATCCTGTGGCTGTCCTGCTTTTCCTACCCTCTGCTCAGGTGAGAGGCTGGGACACCCCTTCGTGCCCAGGCAGGTAGTGTTGGGATGTCACCCAGCATCTCCGAGAGCTCAGGTTCTGGGAGCCCTGCTCAGTGCTCACCCCCTCGGCACAGGAGGCATCGGGGGGACTCTCCCCCTTGTCTCATCCCACCTCCCCACCAAACCTGACCTTACTCCCAAGACTCCCAAAGGCTTCCCACATGGGAATTGGGGGACAGAGGGTCACAGTCACTGTCCTTTATCCAGTATTTGCTTTCCAGCATCTCTCTGCTGGGGAAGCCCCCGCATAGCTCCATCATGTCTATGGCAACAGGGAAAAACCTTCAGTCCATTCCTAAGAAGGTAAGCAATGCAGAACTCTGTGAGCCTGGGCCTTTCCTGAGGAATGCGAGTGTGGAGGGGGCTGAGCCTTGGGGGAGAGAGTGATAGGGATGGGGTTTTTCCATCAGAACTTCCCCTAGACCAAAGGGGAGGTGGTGGTACAGAATTGGGCAAGACTCTCGCTGGGGCAGGCAGTCCCTGCTCCTATCCCCCTGGGCCTGCCCATTTACCGAAGAGCCTGTTGAATCCATGAAAAAGCCAGCTGGATGCCAGAGAGGCCGTTGCCAGGGGAGTGACAGGCCTCCCTTCTTCCCGCAGACCCAGCACTACTTCCTGCTCTGCTTCTTGCTCAAGTTCAGCCTCACCATCAGCTCGTGCCTTATCTGCTTTGGCTTCACACTACAGAGCTTCTGCGACAGCTCCCGGGCCCGTAACCTCACCAACTGCTCCTCCATCATGCTGCCCAGGTGGGTCCCGCCCCCAGGGCTTCCCCAACACCCCGCAGTCCACTTCCCTGGGCCCAGAGGGGGCTGAGCCCACGCCTTGCTTTGGCAGCCGTGCCAACACAGCTCCATCCTGGTTTGATGACTTTGCCAACGGGCTGCTGCCAGCTCAGAAGCTCGCCGCCGCCCTGACTGTCCTGCACACTGGTGAGGGGCTTCCAGGGAGGGACCGATGGCGGCTGGTGGGGGGACCAAAGGGCAAGGCTTTGGGCTATGGGAAGTCTGACACCCCCCACTGACCCCATTTTCTCCAGTCTTCATTTCTATCACCCATGTACATCGCACCAAGCCCCTGTGGAGAAAGAGCCCCTTGACGAACCTCTGGTGGGCTGTGACGGTGCCCGTGGTGTGAGTATCACTTGGATGGAGGGCGGGAGGAGGGGGAGGAGACGGAGGGGGCTTCAGCAGAGCTGATCTGAGGGTGGGATTAGGGCCAGAGGTTGAATGGTGCCTTCCTTGAGCTACTCGTACTGAGAAAATCAGGGAAGGAAGCGAGAAGACCCAGGTTGACCCAGGCTGCCCTCTCCTCTTACAGGCTGCTGGGGCAGGTGGTCCAGACGGCAGTGGACCTGCAGCTGTGGACGCACAGGGACAGCCACGTCCACTTTGGCCTGGAGGATGTGCCTCTGCTGACATGGCTCTTAGGCTGCCTCTCCCTGGTCCTTGTGGTGGTCACCAATGAGATTGTAAAACTGCATGAAATTCGGTGAGCCACTGGCAGGGCACTCCCTCTGGGCTCAGGCATGTTCCCTAAGCCTGTCACCTTCTGGGCATCATTTCCCCACCTCCCCACTGCCCATCCCTTCCTCTTCCTCTGGTGTCTCACCCCGTCCCCTCGTCTGGGGGTCTGCACTGACCTGGACTTTAATCTCCTGCCCTACCAGAGTCCGGGTCCGCTACCAGAAGCGACAGAAGCTGCAGTTTGAAACTAAGCTGGGCATGAATTCTCCCTTCTGAGCCATTGGCCACGGTGGCCATAGTTGCCCTGGTCCTTGGGGCTAAAGCCAGACCCGTTTCTGTGTCTGGGGAGTTGGTATCATGAATGTTTCAGGGTTTGCTCTTGCCCCGCCTGGCACTGGAGGCCCAGCTTTCAGTGTCAGACCCAGCTGTTGTCCTGACCCCCGGGGCGTACTGTGGAGGAGCTGACGAGCCGTGGCCTCAGCACCACAGCATCAGGATGTCCTGGTCTTGAATGTGTGCTTAGTAGAGGGGCCCTTAGTCCCCTCCACCTGTGGGCTGCCGCTGTTCACCATCCCCTAACCCAGCGCTCTCTGCTCTGGGGTCTCCGTCCAAAACCATAAACCATGGGGCCAGAGCCTCAACCTTTTTTGGAAGAGCAGTGGCAGCAGCCATGCGAGGCCTGGACAACTCTCAAGGCCACTGTTGAAGACAGCGGTGGTGGCGCATCCTCCCTGCGCCCCCTCATCCTGTCTTCCTGGGGCAGGGGCCTGGATGTGGCTGAGTACTTCCCCTCCCTCTGTCTGCGGGGGAGCCTCATGCTGGAACCTGAAGATGGAGAAGAGCCCCCGCCTCGCCCAAGAACCTCTTCCTGTGCCTGCTCTCAAGCTGGGGGTGAGAACCAGTCTTGGGGATATGGCCTAGGTCTCCTAGCCCCCTGCCCTAGTTCTCCTGTGAGAATGTTTTTACTGGTATATATTTTTTACTGGAAATGAGCCTTTTAGGGATGAATGTAGACTGGTTTGTATTAAAACTTGTAAATTGCTTAAGAAAAACCTGTGGCTGGTTTCGGCCAGTGAGGGGCCCAAAGGCGAGGAGGGGAGGGCCCAAGCCGCCTTCTTTCCACATTGGCGGGAGTCCTCACGTCCCACTTGAGACCCCTGGGCTCAGAGGTCCATGGCACAGATCCAAACACACAGCCTGATCATGTGGAATGACACTTTCATTGGTGTTAGTTGGGGGAAGAGGTTAATGGTTACAGAGCCGGGGCCTGGGCCAACCAGGTCAGGCTTCCAGCCCCAAGGCAGGTGGTGGGCGCTCTTGCTGTGGTCCGAAGCCCCTCCCCCACTGCGTCCTTTCACTTATAGATAGAATAAATTCCATTTAAAATATATGCATTTCTCTCTGCTTAAAAAATAACATTTACAGTTGAAAAAGTTTGGACTTTGCAGATCTGTTTAAGGGATCTGTTAATCCTACTGCCCCTACCCCCGCCAGCTTTGCCTCACTGAAGGCAGGCAGGGGCGGGAGCAGGGGCTGTCCTGGGCATTGCCACTGCCACCAAGCAGGCCCCTGGTGGCTTATTTACATGTCCTATGTACATCTGTGGGGACCCAGTCAGATGCATGGCTTCGTCCAGCCTCTCAGTGCCAGGACAGCACAGTGGGTAGCAAGAGGACCTTGGCACGGGGACTTGAGACACCAGAGGGGCAGAGAAAACACCCCAGAAGCTCTGCCACCACCTCTTTCTCCCTGGGAAAGAAGCTTTTACCAAGGTCCCTGTCCAAGGGGCAGGGCTGTCCAATCAGATTACACACCGGGAGGGGCCTTTGCTGAGATGTCAGGTTCTCACAAGTCCCCTTGGCCCTCCATGGGGGCTGCCTCCCTAGAGCTGCAGTACTGACAACCACTGGCTTGGAGGAACAGGAGGGACCCTGCTAGGGCGGCAGGAGCTGCTTCTGTGCTAGGGCAAAGGCAGTGGATGCTGCAGGTCAGTGGGCACCGCTGAAGGCGACAGGTGGGTCTAGCTCAGTCCAGCATGGCATCCAGCTGGTCAGCCAGGGCGTCGAACATGGTGCTGATGTCATCCAGAATGTGCTTGGTGGAGGTGCCAGGGGGGCTGCAGCAGGGGAAGGACCGGGTCAAATCAGCCAGTGGTTGCACCCTGCTGGCCCTGGGCAAGGGGGCTGTTATTGAGCACCTGCCTGGTGGTGCCAAGCTCTTCCTGTGCATCTTCTCTAATTCTCACAACCTCCTGAGTCAGTAGGAATTACCGTCCCTTCCTCACACATGAGAGCACTGGGGCTCAGAGGGGGAAGTGACTTCCCGAAGCTCACATGCCTCTAAGTGGCAGCCACCAGGATTCCCCGCACGTCAGATCTCGGTGACTCCAGAACCTGGGCTCCTCCCATTCCAATAGGGGCCTCCCCAGCCTGAGGATCCGCCTATGATGACCCCGTCCCCAACAGTTCCAGGAACCCCAGGAAGAGGATGCTGGAGGAATTGTTTCTAGGCTGCTGCCTTCTCTCCCTCCCCACCCAGTGCCCAGCACCTCACCCCTCTTGCTCCTCAGCGCCAATGCTCTTCTCTGCGGCCCGCAGTGCAGCTGCCAGGGATGAGCTGGTCTGCTCCAGTCTCTGCTGGACCCGGCCTGAGCCCGCGGCCCCAGTGCTCTCTGGCCTTGGAGGGGGTACCGGGCGGGGGCCCAGCCGGGGAGCCAGCTTAGGGCCAGAAAATGCCAGCTGGGTGCAGGCCACAGACACAGGCTTGGGAGCTGTTCCTGCAGAGACAAAAAGGTTGGCTATGACTCGGCTGGGCTGGACACAGCGCCTGCAAACAATACCTTCTCCCTGCAGGCCCCACCTCATACCTGCTCCAGGCACCTTGATGAGGGCAGCAGGGGGAGCTGGGGGCTCTGTCTCGCCATGCCTCCGACTGCCTGCTGAGTTTTCCAGAGTCGGCCCAGGGCAGGGGGACATGCAGGGCTGGTTTGGGGGGCTGGGAGAAAGAGGGGCTGGAGCCCCTTGAGTTGGAAGGCTGCTAGGGTCTGGCTGGGGAGGGGTGGGAGAAGCTAAGGAGGGGGACTCGCTGGGGGTCTGGGAGGGCAGCAGGGCAGAAGGGCTGGGCGTTGCACCGGTCACTCCGAAGGCCAGAAGTGCCGTCTGCAGGGGCTCTCTCTCGCGGCATTTGGGCCTCCGCTTAACAGTGTCTGACTCTGTGAGGTTGAAATCGAGGCCAGCGGGCACAGTCGTCTCCCGGGGTGGGGGGCCAGCTGGCTTTGGCCGCTGTTTGATAGTCAGGTTCCCCTCCTCTGCAAACGGTAGCCCTTCCCCTGAGCTGCCCCGAGATGGGGGTGTCCCCTCGGGCCCCGGCTCCTCCTCCGTGTCCGAAGCAGGGCCAGCTGGGGCGGGTGGGCCAGGGGGCTCCAATGGGCCAGTTGGTTCACTTAGTGTTCGCCTTCGGGACCCCGCAGTCCCCTCCTTGGGACCGGGGCTTCCATCTAATGGAGGCGGCTCTGGGGTGGGGCCAGAGACAGAACTGAGGCGCTTGGGAGGTGGGGGTGGGGGGCCTTTGCGACGGGCCCGCAGGGCAAAGGACTGGCTTCGAGGAGCCCCTCGAGTTGGGGTTGGGCTAGGGCTGTTCCGGGCTAGGGTGCTGCGTCCTGGTCGCCGAGTGAGAGTGGCATAACTGCCCAAGGCACTGCCCACTGGCCCTTCGGCCTCCCCCTCTGCTTCCCCCTCGGCCGGGCCAGGGCGGCTCAGGCTGTGGGACCGGCGCTTGGGCCGAGGTGGGTCCGGAGGAGTGGCAGGGGGGCCAGCCAAGTAGGAGAAGGCCCGGGGTGGACCAGGAGGTGGCCCCGGGGCTGGGCTGGAGGGCAAGCCCTGGGGGTACATAAAAACATAAGTGGGGGGCCCTTGGCCAGGAAGTGGGGAACAAAGCTTAGGGGGCCGCTCTGTGCCCTCTGGAAGGTTCCTCTCCTGTGGGGTGCTGGAGTCTCCACCGCTGGGCTGGGGGGCAGGCTGTTCCTGTGAGTGACCAGACCCTCGTGAGCGCGCTCCAATGCTCTCTTGGCTGGGGGAGCGGGCAGGGGGCAGGGGGAGCGGCTCGGGGCCACCCCCTGCCATGGCTGCCTGTAGCTCTGGGCTCAGCTCGCTGCCCTGAAAGGTCAAGAGGCGTGGGCCAGCCGCAGCCGGCCCGTCCCCGTTCTCCAATCCCTCGATGGCCATCAGCTCCGGGCCCCTGGCCAGCCGACAGCCACCTTCACCTGGGGCCTCCCCCTGCATTAGGCCCCGCCGAAGCTCGGCCAGCCGCTTCACCCCCAGCATAAGCTTCTTCTGATGACCTAACAGGGTGGATAGAGGTGGCAGGGTTAGCTGGGGCTGGGAAGGGTCACCTCAGTCCCTCCCGGACCCCGTTCTCTTTTCTGGGCCTGGACCCTGAAAACGTTTTGGAGACCTGTGGAGGCCCAGCCAGAAGGCCCCAGTGCAGTGCTCACCAAGCTTGTTGACGCCGATCTCCTGCAGCTCCTCCCAGGTGAGGTCGGCCACCAGCCCCATGGAGTCGTAGCCACTGCTCACCAAGTGCTTGTGGTACTGTGGCAGCCCTAGTGCACACAGCCACTCCAGCAAGTCCGCCTGGAAGAGCACCGTGGTCAGAGCTGGCTGCCTGGCTAGCCACGGCCCCCAAGTCAGGAAGGCACCACAGCTGAGGGTGGGAGCCCGTGCCGGCCGTCCACTCACCGGGATGTAGTTGGGCAGCCACTCGGCGATGCTGAGCTGGGCAATCTCTGAGGCGATCTTCTTCCTGTGCCCAGGCTTGGTCACCCCGATGGCCGTCAGATCCTGCCACACAGAGTTGTGCCATCAGGCCCCCTCCTATGCCTGCTGGGCCCTCCACTGCCCTCCCTGTGGCACCTACCTCGGGTGTCATGCGGCTGATGGTTGGTACGTCGTAGCCAGCCTGCAGAAAGTGGGTGGTGTAGCCCTCCAGCTGGAACTCACTCAGCCAGTTATGAATGGCCTGAGCATCCTGTGGCATAGGGGAAGGGAGGTGAAGTTAATAGAGCTAAGTCTGCTGCGGAGGGGCCAAGGCCACAGCCCAGCCATTTACCCCAGCCTCCCCTAGAAGCTGGGGTCCATAATGAGGCCATACTTAAGTCCATACTGAGGGCCATCCCCCACCCCCTGCCCTGGGCCCACAGCCCACTCCCTGCTGGAGGTCCTTCCCCTCCACACCTTCCCCTCCAGCAGCTGCTCTGGCCTCACGTCCTGGGTGAAGAGCTGCTCCCCAGAGCGGTAGTTGGCCAGAGAGCGGTGACTCAGGTTGTCTTCAAGGAGGAAGAGAAATGGAATCAGAGGTGGCAGGGTAAAGGGGTGCCAAGCCCTCGGCCTCCCCACCTGCACCTCTCCTAGCCCACCCAGGCCCCATTTACTCTTCCTACCTGCCAGGGACAAGGGGTGCAGTCCTGGCAGCACCTGGTCCTCTCCGGCAGAGGGCAGTGGCTGGAGACAGGGAATGGGCTGACTATTTGGGGAACTGGCAGCAGGTGGAGGGTCCTGCCCCAATCCCAACATGCCCCCCCTTCTACCTGGGCATTCTCAATAAGGAGGCCAGTGCCATGGCCGTTGGTGCCCTCGGAACTCTGCCCACTGCCAGCACTGCGGATGCTGCCCACGCTGCCCTCGCTGCCCACGCTATTCCTGTCACCTGCTGCAAGGGCAAGAAGCAAAGGGGTCAGAGACCCAGTTGGCCCTGCCAACAGCTGACTGGCAGCTTGCCAAAATTAGACACCCACCCCAGTGCCCAATGCTGACCTCCAGGAGGATGTACCTGGGCTGTCTGGGCTTAGGCCCACCCGAGGGAGCTGGCCATAGGTAAGAGGGTGCAGGGGGTCGTCCGCAGTGGGCTGTGGTGTCCGGGAGAAGCCAGGGCGCAGGGGAGTGGGTGCAGAGGGGAGGCGGGGCGTAGGGACGCCCACCCGCTTGCTGACCACCTCGACGATACCCGGGGGGAAGTAGCCCACACGGTCCGTGCCCTTCTGGCTCTCATGGATGTGGCCCTTCCAGCGGCCGTCGGGATGCTGCTCAAGCACCTGTAGAAGATGGAGGGTGGGTGTCGACAATGGTCACTTCCTAGACCAAGCAAGGGCAGGCAGCCAGCCCTGTAGCCACAGTCCAGCTCTTCCCCTGTCCCCAAGAAGCTGGCCTCTGATGCTCAAGTTGGCCCACAATTTTGCCCTTGCCACCAGCATCCAGCCCAATTCCCCATGTGTATCCAGGGCATACAGAGTCAGCCTGGGTTCAAATCCCAGCTCCATTGCTTGCTAGCTATGCGGCCTTGGGCAAGTCGCTTTAATTTCCCTAAGTCTCAATTTTGTCATCTGTAAAATGGA